AATGGGTTACATGTAGGATTATTCCATTGGTCCGAAGGCCAATTGTTCAATACTTAATGAAAGCACAAGGCTGGAAGACAGAGATTCCCGCACTCAGCTAGACCCATCTGCCATTTCTCCTTACATTCATTCACATACCACATATTGCCCTGTCTCAGATGCAGAGGATGGCGTAGCTTCCTCTCTCCACCTCTTCTGTGTGTGCACAATCATGCTGTCGTCACACATGACTCTTCTGAAAGACGGTCCTCTGAGGGGAGCAGGGCCACAGCTGCTAAACTGTGCCAATTCCCACTGATCACAGGTCCTCATCTGGACATGCCCTTCTCCATGCACCTACCCAACTCCGTCTCGTGGTCCCTGCTGCCATATATCCTAGCCCCCATAACAGAAGGCTCTGTACAGAATGTGTCTACACGCCCCCTGGTTCTTTTCTCTTAAAGCAGGCCTGAGACCTGAGATGTAAGTAGATTAAGAAATTTTCTCCCTTTGGGCTCTGATAAGACACTTAACAGAATTGTATTTTATTTTCTGTTTCTTGAGAATATACACAGCAGAACATACCGACTTCTACATGATCAAGTCAGGGACACTGATTACATTCTTCAAGTTGTGCAACCATTCTCGCCCTCCTTTTCCAAATTGTTCCTCCTCCATTAACACGAAGTCCCTGCCCTCTAAATTTCCTAGTGAATCTTTTGAGTTGTTGTTGTCAATCGGATCCCATATAGACAGTTCTTAAAGAGCACAATGCTCAAGGCAGACATCCTTTACTAGTTAACCTCAACTACTGTTTGGTTTAAAGATGACTCCGGGGTATCTTTTTGGTTTAAGGGTAAAAAATTATCTCAGGGCAATAGTTTCAGGGGTTCATTCAGTCTCAGTGGCTCCACAAACTCTGGAGTCCATGACAATTTGAAATTCTGGTCTTCATTTCCCACCTTTTGATCAGGATTCTTCCTTAGAATCTTTGATAAAAAAAAAAAAAAAATTCAGTAATGGTAGGTGGGCACCATCCAGTATGTTAAGGGACTTTTAATTTGTCATGTTGCATTCCTACCCAGAATGTTCAATAAATTTCTAGGATAAGAGCAATTTCTGGATAAACATTACTTGCTTTCATTTTATTTC